GTGAAATTTTAACATGGCATGGGAAGATGGGAACTCCTACATCTCACGGTCAGCCCCGTTCTCCTAATGGTGTCTTGAGGCTTAGAGCAGCCATTCAGAAACAGCAGATGCAATAGCAGATGCCCATCTATTTGTATAGTGAGCTTTCTAAAACTCACACATGTGAGAAATAGGCACCTACACGCTCACGCCTGCCACCATTTAACCTAAATTATGGATATTAGAGAAATCAGCACAGATAAACCTACCTCACTGTTTGCAACAGGAACAAAATACTGTACCCTTTGTGAGGGAACCCCATCCCTAATAGAGGGGCTGCTTTCAATCTCTTGCCATTACAACCATAACAGTTCCTCTTTGTATGTATATTTCCATATGCTTGTTGGTTACATCTATGTGATACAAAGAAGTTGCACAGCTGCAAAATTTCTGGGTCAGACAAATGCATCACATCGTAGAATTTCCACTGTCAGACCGCTTCAGCGCCAGCGCTGGTCAGGAAGGGTTTGTATGAATGTGAGAAGAGAGCTTGTTATCGGGGCTTGTTTGTTTGGCAAAAATAAATAAGTCACAAGAGCAATCCCCCCAACTCAAGCCGGCCAAACTTTGACACAAAAGCTTCATCAAAGACTCTATAAGAAGAGAAAAGGCATATGCAAACGGTGCTGATCAGTGCATATCTGTAACTCCTGAAAAAAACGCATGGGGAGTGAAATGCCCATAGCACAGAAGCATCAAAAATGCACAATGGACAAATCAGTCAACAAAGTCAATGGTTGATACAGAAAACAAACAAAAAACACTTAATAAAATAGCTCACTGCTAATCTCTGATTTCAAAAACAACACTTTGAAAAACAGAATGCTTTCCTAACATCTGAAAACTACATTCAAGATGAATTCCTTTTAAAGTCAAAAGCAATATTCTGGTAGCTATTACCACTGGTACCTGAACTTCTTGTCTGTGTGGTAAGCCTAGAAGGAGTAAATCTTGGGGCAGAGGGTGTGGCTTATGCAGAGGTGCTTGCTGATAGAGCTCAAGAGTGTGATCTCCAACTCCACAGTAAAATAAAATAGATCAGGCAAAAGGAAAATTAAAAGTTGAATTATTTGAGAGAAATAAAATTTATTCATAATCAAGAGAACAACATCTATTTGTTAGAATAAGAAGCACAGCTGGGAGATGGTGGCCACACGCCTGTAACCCCAGCACTGGGGGAGGCAAAGCAGAGGCAGGTGGGTCTCTGCCTTGAGGCCAGCATGGTCTACAGAGTGAGTTTCCAGGACAGCCAGGAATACATAGAGAAATCTTGTCTCAAAAGACCAAAAACAGAAAAAAAAAAAAAAAAAAAAAACCACACATAAGTTTGCTGGATCATTACTACAACTCAGATTGTGTTTTTATAAACTGTAACAATAATCTACATATATTAATACATATAAGGAACTTGTGAATCAAGCTAATTCATGAAAGCTTTGCCAGAATTTCACTCAGGGAAATGGAAAACTGTTTTGGAAGATATAAAAAGCCAAAATTTAAAAAAATGTAAATATCCTGTTGATAATGAAATTATAATTCCAACTCTCCCTCATTAGGGAAATTTCGTGAAATTGGATTTTTTATTTTAAATGTATACGAGGAACAAAGGGCCACAAAAAGCCACTGTGGTGCTAGATAAACCAATGCACGCTCACACCAGCAGACAGCCAAACTTGTTTTTAGTATGGCTTGGTTCTTGAGTCAACCAGTTGACCAGTCAAGCCAGACTCAGCTCTGTCAACGTGTCCTCAAAGCCAAACTCCAACAGGAAGAAAAGTAAACATATCCCAAAACTGGTCCCAAGAGGAGACAGAAAGAAGTGTGGTCCTCAGAGCACTGTCCTGGAGAGCTGGGGCACAGGGATTTCCAGAGAGAGAAGCAGGTGCAGTGTGCTGACTGCAATCAGTGAGTGCCAGCTAAGGTTTAGCAGAGTCTGTAACCGTCTTCCTCCTTTATGGTGTGTATTTCCTCTTTCTTCTCTTTGGTAAGAACATGGCTATTAACATTGACTCCTAGAGGCTAGGTCTGCATTTCATTTATACAAACATGGTTTATTTTCTGCAAGTTAATTGCCTCAAAGCATTTTATTGCTTTATTTGTTTGCACATAAAGGGAGTCAGGGAGATGGCTCAATAGAAGAGTGTGTATTGCTCTTGCAGAAGACATGACTTCAATTCTGAGCACTCATGTTAGACAGGTCACAGTCATCTGATCTCCAGCTCTAGGGGATCTGATGCCGTCTTCCGGCCTCTGCAGGCACTGCCACTCATACACATACACAAACACATACACAAACACACTCTCTCTTTAAAAAACAAAGGAGCCTTAGACATTCTGATATCATGTGGTAACTAAACACTCTGAGTTCTGGACAGCTGTAGAAAAAAAAAATCAACAATTAGTATCATTACTTATCTATAGACACAGCCCTCACTGTCCTGTAAGTCACTGCATACATTAGGCTGGTCTTGAACTCACTGAGATCCACCCGCCTCCACCTCCCAGAGCTGAGATTAAAGGCCTGAGCCACCATATCCTGCTCAACTATAAGCATGTTAATCATACGGAGATGGGTTTGTCTTTAACATTTAGAATGAGAAAGGGAGAGGGACATGGCTTTTCAAAGGACAACTTGCAGCGTGGTCATGTGGCAGTCTTAGGTCTGGTGGGTTTCTAACTACGCATCACTTAGAAAGTTTCATATCTTATTGATAATGCCACACAATGATGTCAAGTATTTCATATGTAACAAGTGCTTCACAACACAAACTACAACCCCCAAATGGAAACTCTAACCCTGACTTGATGAGTAAAAATGTTCTCGATAGTTTTGATCGGTGTTCTTCACAGCTGCAATTAAACATCTCAGCCTAATTTAAAAATAAATAGATAAATAAAAGCTTTGAAGTGGGGTGGTAATAGTGTCGGTGGCGGCACACACCGTTAGTCCCAGTGCTCAGGAGGCAGAGGTAGGAGGATCCCTGTGAGTTCGAGGCCAGCCTGCTCTCCAGAGTGAGTTCCAGACAGCCAGGACAAACAGAAACCCTGTCTTGAAAAAAACAAAAACAAAAAACCAAACTAAAAATAAACACAAAAGCTCTGAATATTTAGGAAATTAGCCCTTTTACATTCCATTTGATAATTACCTCCCCGATGTTGTTTATAAGCTGTGGTAAGACTTTGCCATATATAAATTTAAACTCTTTATTAATTCTTACTTAGTGGGAATGATGCTCATATTACTTTTCATTGTTTTCTTTCAAACACTGGCTTTATTTTATGTATTCAGAATCAATTTTGTTCAGGAGGCAGGATCCAGGTTTATTTGGTCAAAATGTCTAATCAATTGTTTCATTAAAAATAACCCACATGCCCCCACTAACTTAACATGCCATGGGAAACTGTGTATTAAATTTCCGTGTAATTTAAGCCAATTCTAGGTCCCCCACTGTGTCCCACTGACCTCTTCTTTGCCACTCCAAACTCCATAATTATTGTTATTTGTCCTGCTATGGATTTGAAGGGCAGATTTTTGACCTTTGCAGGATTTATCTGGCTTATCCTATGTTTACTCTTTCCCAAGAGTGGAATGGGTCAAGTCCAGAAACAAATCTAGCAGGCACTCTGGTAGATTGCATTATATTTAGAATGTAAGCAGAAGGAATCATGCAAGAGGTCCTGTGTCCAGATAAGGTGTGTCTGCATGAATTGGAGTCTCTTGTGTCCTCTTGAAGGGTGCTGACACTGTGAACAGCACCAGGGGTATGGATCCTGCCCACCCTCAATCCCAGGGCACCGTTCAATTCTACTGTCTGTGTCCATTTAACTAAGGCCCCAGCCAGCTCGCTCCTACCTCCTTCCCTGGAGAACATGACCCTGTGACTATTTCTGATCCACCAGGAACAATTACTAATTTCCTAGACATTGTGGCAAATACGACACTGTCCTTGAGCCTAAGGACATGAAATAATGATGTCATCTGTCACAAACCATGCAGCAAGGTGCACTTAAAAGCAGCTTGACCTTGAACAGTTTCCTGAAGCTCTCTGGGAAATGTCAGCACTACTTGACTCAGGCCACAGACCAAGGGATCTAAGAAGACCATGGAAGGGACACCTCACACTCCCTTGCTGGCCCAGAAATGCCAAGGTCTGCTGGCTTCTTCCTGTCCACCACCCTTACCACTTTGTCCTCAGAGCATCCCCAACCCATAAGATACCCCTAGTTAGCCACGACACCAGGGCCAAAGTCACAAGTATAAGATTGTTTTTTCTTTTAATTTTCTACAGACACTTCTGAAAAGAGATCTAATAGAGAAAATATACAAAGCATTTGAGAGCTTCACCGCCATGGACAACCCAAGTCTGACCTGAGGCACTAAATGCCTCTCCCCCAGGCTCAGGGCTGAGGGCGGCCAGCACGAACATCAGTTAAACACATGCAAAAGGAGGAGGAGAAACATCACACACCCCTGGACGGTGGGGATAGATCCAGAACGGAAGAGGCAGCGGGGACGAAAGTACCAGGTGGCTCTCCCTCCAGCTTCCTGGCATGGAGGAAGGCATGGGCTCCACCCACTGCCCAGGGCGGGGCTCTGTGGCCGATGACTTCTGTGCCCACTTGCTCCCGTGTTCCCAGGCGCCAGGCCAGGGTGGCCCAACTCCTCATCTCTTTGGTTCCACTCAGAGAACTGTGCTTGGCAGACTCATCCCACCGTCAAACACCAGGCTCCCGCTGGTGGGATGAAGGCACTGACAGGGATCCCGGGGAGACCCCCATGATGGCCGCCACCTCTTGTGCTCTGACGGGTTCAACCCAGGACACATTTCCCCATCCTTAGTCCACACTTAGGCCCAAGGACCAGGAGGAGGGAAGAAGTGTGCTGTGCAAGAAAAAGAAGTCTTTCAGGACTTCCCCCAAAGTGGGGGGGCTAGGTGTCTGAACCCCATGCCAAGCCTTACATCCATGCGCTTGCCCCTACCCAGGCTTTCCGTGCCCAGCTCCTCCCTTTAGTCCTTCCCCTTGGCCCAGCCACTGGGGAGCCGACTTAAAACAATGGGTTACAGAAACCAGCTCGGGCGACTGTCCCATCTCGCCCGCTGCACACTTGAAAGACCAGCAGACTCAGAGGTCCCCTTGAGAGATCACAGCCCTGGTACAGGGAGGAGGGTGGGGCTGGAAAGGACGGTGAGACATGTCACATCTATGGAAAAGTGCCCAAGGTACAAGCTAAGCAAAGGGAGGAGGAGGGCCAGAGAGTGGCCAGAAGGAAAGAGGGGAGGGGTGGGCCTGGAGGGGAGGCCTCACACCACCCCACAGATGAGCGTCTCCACCACGAATGTGTTCTCAAAGTGGCGGATGGCATTGCAGTTCTTGGCCCCAGCTTTTGATCCCTGGGAAGAAAAAGAAAAGTCCCAGTTATGCCTGTGTCAGGCCCAGAAGGTGGCCAGCCTTTGAGCCAGAGAGGAACCCTGGGACCTAGCAAGGCAGGCAGTGGGAAACCCGGAAGCGACAACCCCCGATCATCACCATGAAGGAGAGAGGGCTCCTAAGTCAGGCTCTGCTGTAAAACCTTCTGGGTGCTACATTAGCCTCTGTGCCTCGGTTTCCTAAAATGCAGTTAGACTCAATGGAGCCGATGTGATAATGATGCGGGGAGAAAGGCAATGCTGGCATGTCCTGAGTGCTCGACTGGCATCCGCAGCAGTTAGCTCACAGCTGCTGCTGGGATGGCTGGGCCAGATCCTGTCAGAGGCTGGCTGGGATTTGGAGCCTGGGGCACATCTGACACTCACGCCTCCGGGTAGCCGGGCGCCGCAGCCGGTAGGTGTCCTTCCCGTTACACAGGTGGTAGATGAAGGAACCCAGAGCCTCCTTGTCACTGACATGCTCTGTCCTACCATCTCCTCCTGGATGATGTATGTCTGTGGGAGGTAGGTCCCTCTGCAAAGAAGGGATGGGAGTAGTGTCAAAGCGCAGGGTCAGCACCCAGGCCCCTCCCACCGTCCACCTTTCCTCGGGGGTCCCACACGCCCGTTCTATATCTGAAATGACTACTGTCCCAACTCACTACTTTCTACTCCCAGAAGCCTGTCCCATACTGCGGTGAGCTGTGGCATGTGGGCACTGTGCTCCTGGAGATAGGAGCTTCCACTTCCCTCCCTAATGACCCAAGCATGAGTCTGAATGCTGAGGGGAGCTGCACTTGACATTCTGTGAGTTGGGGAGGGAAAGGAGAGATATCACCGAGGGCGCGGCTAGACAGCGGTGGAGAAGCGATTCTTTGGGGTACAGGGACAATGTCCAGGACTCCCCCTTTAGGCTTGGCCTCCTCAGGGAGGGGGCAGGTATGAACAAGGTGTTGCCGACCTTCACATTCATGAGGAGCTCCCAGAAGTTCCAGGGGGTAGCACAATGGTGGTGTTGAGTTCGATGACGTAGCACTTGTCCAGGAGATGTCGTGGTAGGCAGTGAGACCCTGAGAGGGAGGGGGTGTCTGTCAGTCTCTGTGTAAGGCACAGGCCTGGACCAGGCCAGCCCGCGGAAGGTTTTTGTTCGACAGAGGCCTGACTCCTCCTGGACATCAATGGGGCCCAGGATCTCCAGAGTTGTGCCCCCCACCACCCCCAGTTCCTGGACATTGACCTAGGAGCAGCCCGTCCTCCTGCTCTTTTCTAGGCTGGTGGATCTGCCATTAACAGATGAGAGCACACTGGTTTGTTCAATGCCTCCATTGCTACAGATGATCTTTCTGGGGTTTTCAGAGCTAGGGGGAGGGGAACGGCATATGTTGATATCCCATTATGCATTTCCTTCGAAATAGTGAGGTATAGTTGTCCTGGGGAAGAAAGGACCCTTACGGGTCCGACCACCTCCGACCCCCAGCAAGGTCCCTTGCCTCAGGGAGGAAAGCTCCCCACCAGGCTCCAGAGACTACTGCTACAGAACACACAGATGCTTGGGAGACCTAGGGAAGAAGGCCGGGCCTATGTCTTGCTGACCTCAAAACCAGCCAGAGGCGAGAGTGGTAACCTCAGGAGGGAAGGATCTGACTGGAAAAAAAAACTAAGAGGGAAGCTTCCAGAGTGCTGGCAGCGAACCAGACTTTCATCTGGGTGGCGTTACACAGATGTTCACTCAGCTGTTCACTCTGATGCTGGATGTACAAATGCGAGCAGACCCAGGGTCCTTGGCCTCATAGGGACAACCAAGCCTTGTAGCTATCAGACAGCCCAGGACAAAGCAGTCTACCCCCACCCCAGTCTACCACTGGCAATAACCAACAGGACTACTATCTTCATGGTAAACACGGTATTGAAAGGCCAGTCAAGGTGACCAAAGACATCTGCTGTACAGTCGATACACAAGCCAAGGATTCTTTGGTACTCTTATTCCTTGCTCTGAGTGCCCAGAACACTCTCCGCTGCCCTAACCCAGATCCCAGCCACCTACTAGCCACCCACAAAAATCAGCCTCACCCGCTGGAAGTCATGGATAATGTCCGCAGGGTCGCCGCCACCAAACTGGGGCACGGGGAGTTGATGCGTTCATAGTTCTCCTCAAGGTAGATTTTCACATCTTCCTCCAGCTCCATGCGAGTCCGGATCTGGGAGGACAGGGAGTCTTCGTAGAGCACGCCACAGTGAAAGAGGTTGTCTCGGGCCAGCTGCACATGGTGAGGGGAGAGACAGACGGTCACACAGGGTAGTGACATGGCCACACTGCCTATCTGCCTACTTCAGACCCTGGAAGCAGGAAGGGCAAGACCCAAGACTTTCTCAGAGACAGAGAAACAGAACGGGAGGTAGGTCCCACATCTGCTAGCGAGGAGATAAGCTGGGTCTTGCGGAAGTCCCTTCAGCCTCACAAATGGAGGACTGGATAAACAGGTTCCTAGGTGGAAGACCACTCTGAGCCCCCAGCCCCTAACTGTAAAGCTTATGATCTCAAAGGTCTGCCAGGCTTCAAAGCCCTAGAGTCTGTGAAATGGCCCTGCAAATAGCCCTGTGGATGGACAGAGCAGTAAATCCCATAGAAAGCTGAGTAGGCAGGGAGGGACAAGCCAAGGGATGAACAGGCTGTGCCTGTGGGGCACCACCAGGGTTGCCCACCTGCAGACACCTGGGTAGAAGATAAGGTGGGAAGCTGGCAAGCTCCAAGACAATGCCACAGCATCCCCATGCTCTTCCTGTGGATAAATCCCACCCCACCCCTGGCCCTGAGGGCCCTACCCCATCAGGCAGATGGCTACATCACCCATCATCCAGGGGAAGTAACTGAGTGATGGGACCAGCGCTGTCTCCTGTAGGGACTCAGAGGCTCCTAGAGCTCCATGATGTGTCCGTGATGGGCAGAATTCCCCTCCCACTTCTGAGTCTGGGGAGAAACTCTGCCGGGATGAGGCACCCTGACCATGTGGGAGCCCTGAGGGCTTAGGAAGCCCAAGGAAGACCAGATGCTGGGGCAGACACGATATAGCCTTCAGGCCAACTGTAGGCTGTCCTGGGGACAGTCTGGAGCATCCACACTACCTGGGAAGTAGAGCGGGGCGACCAATCCTATAAAAGTACAAGTGGGGTCTGGGAAGAAAGGAGACAGAGCAGGGACACCGGAGGAAAAGGCCAGGAGAGAGTCCTGTACCAGAGAAGGAAGAGGTACCTGGCAAAGGCTAGCCTTGCAGATTTAGTTAGTTAGCCTGCTTTCAGGGCAAGTTCCAAAGGGGAGAGATGTAGGAGTTGAGGTCTCTGGGGACAGTCCCACAGGCACAAAACACTCAGGTAATGTCTAGTGTGCAAAAGCTAGATGGCAACAACCTTAAACACTTAAGGGATATGGGGGGGCGGTCAGCTGGGTCCCCAGTGACTAGAAACCCTAGCCAGTAGGTCTCCCTAGGTGTCCGTTGATATATCCATGCTTTATCTCTCAAGCTACTTATAATGTGGTTGGTTTCAGTACTCAAGAATGGTGATCCTTCCCTTCCCCCAGTCTGGGTGATCCAGCTTTGGGCTTAGCTCTCCAGTGTGTGTGCTGGACTAAGACAAAAGAGCTCCTAGTTAGACCTACCATTGCTTGAAAGCAGGCCATGGTCAACCATGCATAAGCCGCCTGGGGCTCAAAACCAGAAATGTCAAATGCAAGGAACAATTCAGCCATCCATGATGTATGACCCCTAGATACAGGGTCTGTGTTCCAGAGAGAATCATAAGCTCCAGACTTCTTTCTTAGTGACAACACTTCAGAGTGCCACTGGTAACTGGTGAGGGGTAGGGATAGGATGGGGGGGATCCTTGATTGACTCTCCAGAATAAGAGGTGAGCCGGGCAAGGGGACCCTGGAAGGAATGAGGACTGTCCTCTAGGCATGCCTGGGGGGGTTCTGCTGTCTCTCCTCATGCTCTCCACTGTTCCCACACCCTCAGCAGACTCCGCAAAGACCCATGTCTTGGTGCTGCCCTTCCCCAACCCACCCGCCTGGCTCCTCACCTGAGCAAGGAAGAAGTATCTGTAGATGTGAAGCGGAGGCAAAGACAAGGCCCATAAGCAGCACAACCATGCCCATTGATAGGTAGCACACACACCACCCACAGAGCCCCCTTTTCCTGGAGCGGTGGCGAGGGGGGCGTTCTCCCTGTGAACAGAAGTGCTGTGGTCAGTGAGGTGCCCAGAAGACCCATCTCCTGAATTCCTCATCTCCTAAGTGGGATCACCCCTCCGTCTGGGCTGCCGGCTGGGGTGGGGGTGAGGGCAGAAGAAGGCAACACAGTTTCTGAAAGGCAAGGAGCCTTGACAAAGTCTCAGGACCCCTCCCAACTAGAAAGAAATTGAGACTTGCCTGAAGAATAAGACAATCAGCCTGGACTAAACACACACACTTTGAATTGCCTGAATGCCAATCCTGTTGCTGGACCAGCTTAACCACTCCAGTGGTTCTCAACCTGTGGTTCTCCACCCCTCTGGCAAGTCTCTTCCCCCCAAATATGCATTACAATTCATAACAGCAGCAAAATTACAGTTATGAAGGAGCAATGAAAATAATTTTATGGTTGGGGGATCATCTGAACATGAGGAACAGTTAGTGGTTATTGGAAGGTTGACAACCATTGTGTTAGTTATTCAAACGCAAACTAAGGCACATCAGGCGGCCTGCTGTGATTGGATTGGTCAAGGAGTTCATGGGGAAGGAGAATGAATCTGGTAGGCTAGGTGCCACTGTCCTAGGTAACAGGGAGCCAAGAAAGCAGAGCTAGAGAGTGACAGATGCAACCCAACTGGAGGCAAAAGGATGGACTGGGATGAGGACAGGGGGTGATGGGGGCATGTATTAGCTAGTTTTCTTATTGCTATGAACCCTGATAAGAAACCACCAAGAGGAGAGTCTGTCTAAGTTCACGGTCCATCACGGTGTGGACTTGCACAGTATATGTCGCATCTGGGAAATCAAGTGGCAGACAGATGAATGCTGGCACTCAACTAGCTTCCTCCACTTTCCCTTTTATTCAGCCTGAGACTTCAGCCCATGGATTAGTGCTACCCATATTTGGGGTGGCTGGGTCTTTCGCTCCATTAAATACCTCTGGGAGAGCCTCCACACACACACACATGCAAAGGTATGTATATTAATGCCTAAGTGTGTCTTAATCTAATTGGGCTGACCAGGTGAAATTAGCCAATCACAGGCGGGTGTAGTTGTCTCCTGAACTCTACCAAGGTGGCCACTGACTGAGAGAGGCCTAGAGGATGTGGGGCAAAGGTGCTTATCTCTAGCCAAGTAGCCCTTGGCTTGCAGTCCCCCTGCTTTTCGACTGTCCCTCTGTTGTGTCAGGCAGGCTGTCATAAGCAGAGTCTACAAGACGGAACCTGAAGCTCCTGGAAGTCTCACTAGGAAAGACACGACTGTCTGGGAGGCCACAAGTCCCATGAAAGAAACTCCTTCAGGAGCCAGACTTGGGCTCGGCATGCAGGGCTCTCAGACCCATCTCTAGACCACACATGTCTGTGCTGGTGGGTGGTCTGTGTATGAGTACTCAAACTCAACAGGACTACTTGGCCTGGAACGGACTTTTGGGCCACCTCTTAACTATCTCTTTGCATGACCTTTCTCCCACAGCAGCCCAGGCTGGCCCTCATTTATTCTTGGTGATGCTACAGGTATCACCAGGTTTGTTTCTGCCTCTACCACTTGCAGTGTCATTTTTTTACACTGCTCAGACATGGCCAAGAGAGGTCAAAGGTCCCAGAAGTATCCACAGAACTCCCTTCCCAGTCTTGGGAAGATGAAGCTGATTGGGGAATGGAGTTTCTCCATTGGCCTTAAATAAACAGGTTTTGATTGGCCCCTCCTCCACTGACCCCCTCTACACAGTGTGGGATTATGTTATTTCTCTTTTTTTTAGGGTGTTGGGTGGGTGAAGACATGGCTCTGTCTAATTACTTAGGACAAGCCTTTATCTTAACACAGCAAAGGGGTCCTGGGATGTCCACCAGAGGGGTCTGATTCCCAGTTTGGTACTCTCCAACCCAACCTCTGAGAAAAGGACTGAAAACGTCTTGGGTTCCACATTCACAGTGGGGACCCTCCCACAAGATCAAACCTTGGCCACCCTGCAGAAATAAGGAAACTGGTTTAGGACAGCTGCTGACCAGAGGGGCAAGGAGGCTTGCAATGGCTTTGCAAAAGTGCACTTTGCAATGGTCCTATGGGGTGACATCAACATCTACACTCCCTCAGCATCTCCCATGAACAAGCCACCAGGGGTTCTTATAAACAAGACAGCCAAAGGCGCTGTACTAGCCTGCTCCTGTGATCATAAGGCGTCTAGTGGCCTGGCATGGTGGCACAAGAATTTGGGAGGCAGAAGCAGAGGCAGGTGGATCTCTGTGATCTGAGGCCAGCCTGGTTTACAAATGATTTCCAGGCTAGCCAGAGTTGTTACACAGACAAACCCTGTCTTGAAAAACAAACAAAAATGGTAGCTAGCTTAGAGGCAGGAAGGATTGCCCTTTAGCACAATACATTCCAAAGACCACACTGTATCTAGAGGGTTGGTAGGGACACAGGGTCCAAGAGCAGGGGTGGCCAGGGATGCATCAATAGGACATCCATCTTGGGGTTATCTGAGGTGACCAGCCTTCAGGGATTAAGAGAGACAGTGAACCACAAGCTCTTTTGTTGAGGATACAGTATGGGATAAAAATAGTAGATCTATAGGCCGGGCCTTTCCTTTTGGGAGCCGCCACTGTGGCCAGCTGTTGAGGCTGCACAGTGGCTAATCTTTCTCCTCTTGTGTTTTCTGGAAAATCGGAAAAGCTAGCTTGGGAAGCTAGCAAGGAAATAAAATAGGATTGGGGGGAGGGCACAGAGCGAACTACAAATGAGAGCCTGCTACCCACACATAAAAATCACAGATGAGCCGAGGGCTGTCCAGTCTTACATCTGTGGCCAACTTGCTAGCCTGGGAAGCTCGGGCCAGTCCAGGTCTGCATGGACTGAGGGGAGGGGATGGGCGCAGAGGCTTCCCTGAGAGGGAGGCAGGAAGGTCAGTGAGGATCTAGCAGGCAGGAGTTGAGGCTGCAATGGCCCCAGGTGAAGGAAGAATGGTCATGCTTCTGGCCAGGACCCTTGACTGGAAAGACTGGAATCCCCCTCACCTTTCCCAGCTGGGATGGTAACTCCACACATTCAGGAGTCCAGAACAAGGAGGGAGATCAAAACATTCCACTCTAAAGATATTTCTTTGATGGATTCCCAGTTGGTTATTAGACAAAGTACAGCCCTCTGGTCTTGGGCTGGCTCTGACTGCTCTTTTTCATGAAGGGTATGTCATCCATCTGCACCAGAGGAGTACCCAGGGTACTTGTCCCTCAGATCCCATGCCTGTCTGGGGAGAATCTTCCGGCAACAGAGCAGCAGGGACTGACCTCAGACACACAGCTTGCCCTGCGTGGTCTTCCCACACGTAACCGTTACCTGGGAAACATGCTCTGCAGATGTTCACCTTGCCCAATGACTTGCATGGCCACCGACAGCTGCCTCAGCAGCTATGGTCAACTATGGTCTTTTCTTTAAGCCTTCGGTTTTGTTTACTGGCTCCTATTTTGATGCATATATGAAATTTAGTTTGTTTCTCCTGTGAATCCGTTTCCTGTCTGTTTTAGTTCGTTTCATGATCTAAAATTACCAAGTCCCTTCAGAGGAAAAAGGAAAGCATAAATCTTTCCTATGCTAACAATGGCCCTTGTTCACCTCTTCTGACACAAAGCTGGGGCCTCCAGCTTTGCTGCCCATCCACCACTTGGGCCTGTTGAGCCGAACCGTCGGAGACATGGGATGAGAAGTATGGCTGGAAGTGAGGGCTGACAAGGAAACCTGGACGTCCATGAATGAAGACAAAAACCCCCAGCACTGCTTTGGCCTGCTGGACACAATCAACGCCAAGGATTAAATTCCAACCCTGGAAGCTGAGGTTACCTCAGTCTGTGATTCTCACACAAGCTGAGACCTTTGGGGTATGAGGACCATGGGGGAGCAGTGGCCAGTCAGCCTTCCTGAGGCCATAACTTCCACTCTAGCTGCTTCCCCCTCTTGTCCTGATCCCCCTCCTGCCCTAGAGGAATAGTTATCAACAGCCAGGCATTGGGGGACTTCCCTTTAGAAAGTGGGAAGATGGTGCATACTGTTTCCAAAGGCAACAAGCCCTCTGAGCAAAATGCCTCTCCCGAATATACACCCTCAAGTTAGGGATGTGACCTGAGAGGGACCTGGGCCTCAGCCTTCAGGCTTTCTTGGTCCTTTCAACAGTGCTTGTGAGATAATTAGCAGGCCTGGGGGCAAAATGGATAGGGAACCTACAACTGAAACACAAGTAGGCTAGAGACACAGTTCAAAGAACTCCGCCCCTCCAGTAACAATGCCAAAAATCTAAGTGGACTATGTTACAATTGCAGGCTACTTGGTGGGAGGCAGAGGAGAGCAGATACAGACTTTGCAAGCACCAATGAAAGTCTGAGAACTTTGGAAGTGGTCCCCACCCCAATTCTGTTCTTGGCATTTTTTTTTTTTTTTCCTAGGCTGCAGGCTGCAGTTCACAGAGGATGCCAAAGGGTGTGTGTGAGACAGACCTACAGACAGACCAAGGCCTTGCTGGGGGGTGGGAGGAGGCAAATGCCTAGTTCTCCCCGAGCAATAGTGCATAGATATCACCTGAGCATCTGCCAAGGCTCAGAGATTTTCTATTAGTGACCTCCTACCCTACCCACTCCGGCTGGGGGCTTCGGGGTGGTTTCAGCTATGAGAATCACTGTGCTCGCTGGACCCAGAATTCTCTCTTCTCCTCCATCCTGACAGGCCAGGCTTCTCAGAAAACAAAGGCCCAGAAAGGGTCTGAAGCAGAAGACACAAGGCTGAAGGCTGGAAAAGCCTTCACTCACAAAGAAAAGAACCAGGGACTCCCAGGACAGAGGTAAAAGCCCAGCTGTGTGACTGAGCTTTTAATCATAAACATTTTCCCCCCCTTAGGAACAGAAACTCCCTCACAAGCAGTCTGCTGACAGCCCGAACAGTAGAGCGGGGAAAAC